AATATTTCATAAAATTTCTTTTATGGAAATAAGTAACTTTTTTTATGATATTTGTTTATTATTTAATACATACGCTAAAATATTTAATTAATACGTTGAACACATCTAAATATATAAAATAGATAAAATTTCTTATTTGAAGTTCTTAAAAAATATATTTAATATCTTAAAAAAAGTACTATAAATAATTATAATTGGTTAAAATAAAATGAAGTTTTAATTTTTAAAAAGTGCAATTTAATTGAATTATGTGAATAAAAAAAAGGTCAAAATCAAATTTTTTTCATAAATATTAATAATCAATAAATCTGCTGAATATTTCAGGTCTACAATGACAGATTAATGAACACATATAAGAAAGTTGAAAGAGAAATAACAAGTAGAGAAAAATGTCATAAGAAAATTTTGGAATTATTTGACTGTAATTAAGAGGGTAATGAGAAACGCGGAGAAGAAGAAGGGTGGAGAGAGAGTGTTATTCAAATTCATTGATTTTCATTCATTTTAGCGAGAGAGAAAGAGAAGTAGTAATTTCTTACTAAGTAGCGAAACAGGGAGTGAGGCAGAGAGAAGACTATTACAATGTCGATGTCGACGTTGTACCTCTCTTTATTCGTTCTGCTCGGAATCTTAACCACAACTTCCCATGCCGTTCATGACAAATGCGCCGCCTGCAAAGCCGTCGCGGTATCCTCATTTTCTCTTCAATCAAACTCATTGCATAACATATATAATATAGATCTATTTAATCCTGTATTCTATATCATTTTTATTAGATGATCTAATCCTGTATTCTATATCATTTTTGTTAGATGATGTAATCGAATCACGTATCGTCGATTTGATCTTATTTTTTATTTGATTTATTGCGGTAAATCATTTAGTATTTAGGTCTGACAATGGTTTGCATCTTGCAGGAGGAGCTAGAGATTGGGCTTTCGAGCGTAATGTCTTTATTACAATTTGATGGTACTTTATTTAAAAGTAACATGATCGATTATTGAGACATTTCGTTTCCGCAGGAGAGGCCACGGAATCACTTGGATATGCGCCATCGATTGGACTCCAAAGGTCAGCGTGAAGGAAAGCTTATCGATTACAGGTACATGTATATAAATATGTGCCTATCTTTTTCAATTTCAACACCTCTATTAATTATGAGAATATATTTGGATTGATGCATAATGAGGAAATGGAGTGGAATGGGATGGGAAGATACCAAGTTCCTTTGAACTGGAGGGTGTGAGATGAAGCTACTTTTTGGATTTGACTCCTTAAGTGAGGAAAGTGCACTTTTGATGATAAAATGCGCTTTCATTATTGATTATTAGAATATCAATTTTAGAGTTTATGTATGTATTTGGTTTCATCATAATGCTCAGAGTTAATTTTCTAATTAACGATGTGACTAGTGAGGGTATTTTATTCTCTAAAGTGCACTTTCACCATTCCATTTCAGTTGTATATCCAAACATAGGCCGGGGAATTGATCAAATAAGTAGTATGGTAGGGAGTTGTTGGCAACTGAATCCTCTACTTTTCGTTTTCAGAATCTGACATCTGACACAAACATTTGGTCATCTGATTCTTCAAACAGTTATAAAATTACATCTATGTATGTTGATCTCTCGAAGATAAATGTTTTTGCTCTACTTGATTACTAACATCTTATGACTGCACAACTTTGAAACTGTTTTATACAATATACAGAGTTAGCGAGCTAAGAGTTGTTGAACTTCTTGATGGCCTTTGCGAAAAGATGCAAGATTATACACTCAAGGTGCTTGGTTATATACTTTACTTGCTTTTCTTCACTGTTCCGGTTTCTAAATCTGTAGCTTTTTGTTGTGTTAGTGTCTACATTTCTGAATTGAAATTTAGTTGTAAACTTATCATACTTTTTTATCCAATCAAATACTACTTCCTTTCCCCTTAGGTTCTACTCATACTTAGATACACTAAAATGGATGTTATTGGCTTTCTATTTTTGCAGAAAGATAGAAGTAACTATGAATGGTTCAAAGTGGATAGCTGGGATAACCTCACAAGTACGCACTCTATATCATCCAGTGTTGATTTAGCATATTCAACTTCATGCAATTTCTTCCTATGTCTTACTGTTCATATATTTCCGGATGAGTTCTTCAACCTTAAGAAAAGAGTGTATGGCAAACAATGATTTGGGAGTGTAGTTAAGAAAACACGCCTGCTATATTTTAATGCTGTGCCTGTCTGGTTCTAGAAATGATATGTTGAACAATAAAAAACTACAAGAGATGAACAATTACTTTGCTTGTTGTGGCAGAATGTGTGGGGCTGTTAAATTTTAGTCATTCCAAAAATTCACACAAACAGATAAGAACGTATATATTTTATTAGGATTTTGAATGATGGTCTTGAATTTCTGGAAAGATCACTGAAATTTAATAGGATTATAACAAGTACTGAATATTACGATTGTTTGAGGTGTTTGCATGTTAATTTATCAAATTGACACTTAGGATACATACACGTCTTGTTTTAAAGTCCTTATTTCACCCTGTGGCATGTTGATAGGGGCTGGTACTATTAAGTCCCTAAGTACCACATCAAACAATATAGATGTTTGGTGGAGTTCTTGAACTTGGGGTATTATAGGGTGTCTAAGTCCCAATCGAGTAGTATGAGATACTCAGTTGAATATTTAAGTGTTTTAGGTTTTTTAGGGTGGGTTCCCAAATGCTTGGGTACTTATCAACTGGTCTGAGAGCTAGTTATGGGTGACTCAAACTGCTTCCAACCTATGGGTTTCATGAGGTTCCTAATTCTCATTGAATAGTATGAGATGCTTGGTGGTAGAGTGTCGAAGTGTTTGGTTCTCCCCCTTTAATAACTCACTTTTGAGGGTGGGTTCTCCAAGTGTTTGGGTACCATCGGTACTTGAGTGGCTTCGTTCTCCTTGACAGCTGTGCTTATCACGTTTACTCGTTGAAGGGTATTATTGACATCTTACTGTATCAAACTAACCTGTGAAATATTTCAGTTATGGATAATCCTGTGTTTGCCATTTTAGTTATCTGCTTATTTTAATTTAGGGATTTCTTCACTTATCATGGTAGTTTTCTGCACAAATACTCTATTCTAAATTCTTCTCTTGGCAGATAAGCAAGAAGCTCGGGCATATTCAAAAGATTTATCTTCTTATTGTGGAAGGTAAGAGAAAACTAGTTGTATACTTTTACTCGAGTTATATTTTTTTTAACGGGGATACTTATGGCATCAAAGCTTTGCCTTTATCTTCTGCAACAAGTGATTATTAAACTCTTATATATTACATTGGTGCACCATCTCTGCACTGTGACCAGATTACTCGAAGACACTGAGGATGAGGTGAATTTTTCATGCTCTGATTTTTCAGCATTTGATGTATATGTATTCATTTGCGTTAATGATGAATTTTTATTTTTTTCAAATGATCCTAATCTTGCAGTTGTCTGAATTGATCAAAAAAGGATCCGTTAAAGTCGGAGGCGTGAGCAAAGTTCTTTGTCAAGATTTGAGCAAACATTGCAGTCAAACGAGGTAACTTCAGAAATTATTTTGGAAATTTATCTTAAAGTATTGGGTGCTTGATAAGCCAGAGACACATTTATTGAATTCATGTTCTAAATAGTTATTTGGGTGTCCAATTAGGTTGAATGTTCTAAAGATAATATCTTAGTTAATTGATTATGAACATTCTAACTTCTAGTATTAGTGAGGTGGCCTTCCTTCTGGCCTATTTCCTAGTAATGGGACTTCTACGAACGAATTTGAATGTATCGTTGATGATTGGTGGTCGTGACCTTTTGACCCATGTAGGATAGTTTCGTACTTTTGAAGGTCACTGACAACTAACTTTGAACGGTGTGTTATCGATTTTCAGATTATAATAGAAGAAATAATGTATTTGATAGTTATTAGCTTTTAAATCTCTACTTTGAATTTTCATTTTATGTTCTGAATCCTCGAAATTCATTTACATTAAACTCGTACTATATGAAGATGACTAGTAATGCCTATATTCATGCAGTGTATCACATGCGGCAGATGTCGATGACGATGAACATGATGGAGAGCTGTAAGACCATGACTCTACGGTGGCTGAAAATATCAGCTTTTGGGGCAGTTAAAAATTGACAGAATGGATAGGATAATTTGTTACTGTTGGAATCATCTTTGTTCTCGTTACAGGAGAAGACTCTTTCAACAATATGGTGGATCGGACTCTTGTTATTATTAAGGGTTGCGCTCTGCGCTCTAATTATCTTGATTTTGTTTGCTGTATTTTATAAATAATTGGTAATACCTAGTAATTCGGAGAAACATTACATCTACTGCCGAAATAATATAGATACATAGACAAGATACCTCACCAATAGAGAAATCATCCAAGTTCTTTATCTTATTTTTAGTGGACCTGACACTGCTATATAAAATTCAAAAACTCTAACCCTTATAAAATTAGTTGCACTTCACATTATTATATTTTTTCTATTGAAACAATAATTCAGTTCTTATATGAGAAGTCAGTTCTTTTATAAGAAATGATTTTACAATGAACATAAAAATCATCAGAACAAATTATAAAAAAAAATCATCCGTATCCGATATCAACACATTATAAAACCATTAATCTGCTAATTTCCAGATTATTCTCAAGATTCAGTAGGGTAGTCTGGTGTTCTGCAAACTATCACCGACTCACCGCTTACTGGTTAACCTATCTTACTGCTATACCTTTATACCTTATAATGTCAGGGAAGAATAAATAAAAAAAAAAAAAGAGAAAATGGACAAGTGGAATCGCAACTGTTGATATGATCCTTGAAACTGAAGAAACTTTCTGATCTCATAATCTCGTATGTACAACAAAACATATAAGGGAAGGGGGGCCAAGATCCGCCAGCAACCTCCACATAAATGATCAACATTTCAAGGTTCTTTATACACACAACAATAGCCATCCTTTCGAACGAAAACTAACCGTCTAACACACCCTTAAGTAAATTGAGGCCTTCCGCCGATATACTCCTCCTGACTCGAGAAGGAGGTGCCTCTATCCTAGAAGGAGGATCTGGGGAAAAACATATCACGATAACAGTCAAATTATCACACGAGTTACGCTTAAGAGCCTCTCTAACCAGCTCTCTTGAACACCTTTGAGGATCATTATGTATCATTAGTTCTTTCCTTGCCATGGTCACTGCACATTGGTTACTCATTACATCCCATAGGCCGTCACAGCCCATGATCAAGAACTCGTCATCCTCGGTCAGATTGATTTCCTGCAGCTCTGGCTCAGAACTCAAGGGACAGGCAGAACCCTTGGGACCCTTCATGTGCCAGTCTCCCAAGGCTCGGGAAACAGATAACTGCCCATTCAAGTATCCATCATATACCACTCCACCAAGTTTCTCAATCCTTAGCCTTTCCGAAATGCAATCTGGTTTCTGGTCTTTCGACATCTCAATTGCTCTACCTCGCCTCCCCAGTACAGCTCTACAATCCCCGGCATTCGCTACTATCATGGTCCTGTCAACCATGAAACTTCACAACTTGAGAACGATAGCCAATAAATGCATTTGCAGTCTCTACATGGGGCAATAAAATGCATGCTGAACACCCATAACTTTCTTTCCCTAAAATTTGCCTCCCGTTTCCAAATAGCCAAAAAAATAAATCAATCTTCAGAATTTTTAATTGATTCCTTTATACTCAGGGTATAAGGATAAAGTAAATAAATTCAGTGATTGATGAGCGAATCAATCTTTGATATTTTAAGTTCTGATAAATTTATGATTAACCATGTATATTTTCGTAATAATGACAGTTAATTTCTTCATCAACGATTATTCTAAATTAATTATTTTATATTTCAGTGAATTGTTGATTTTAAAGGAGTAAGATACTAGAATATTATTAAAAAAATGATTAAGTAAGTAAAAACCACTATAATGGAAGTTTATTACCTTCCAGATACAAGAGCAGTTAAAGCAGTGGTCCCAGAGGAGATATCAAGCGAACTAGAATCTGCAAATGCATAGTCGGCTTTCAGAAACGCACTCGTCATTGCCTGCCCCACGCATGTTGGAAAATGGGAGTCCTCAACTATGAATTTTAGGATGTTATTTCTTATGAACAAAGCTGCGTCTGTACCTCCATGGCCATCAAACACCTGTACAATCAGTGGAAGTTAATCAAACTGTTGCACTTAACATGCAAACAAAATAGAGTCTCAAACACACACTGTGAGAAACAAAATGAATGGAACAAAACAGTATCTGCCAGCAGAGAAATGAACCATCTCCCATAGTCTATATTAACTCATTTGTCCCAATTATCAGCTGTGTCAAATTTTAACGGAAATCAAACATCAGCCATGATTCATCTCATCAATATTAGAGGAGTCGAGAAGGGATGGATTGGAAACAGTGGTTATAAAATACAACTTTCTGATGAAACATAATCGTAAGGAGGAAAGAGCAAATGAATCCAAGTAAATTTTTAAGCCATGTATTAAAGAAAAAAATCAGGCTTTATCAATAATAGCAAGTGTATGCTAACAAAAACAAAGTATACGAACCCCATAAAAAGCTCCAGGTAAAGGAATAGTTGAGGCAGGGCCTATATGCTGAATAAGATCATCTATACATAGGTGTTCGTCTTCCATATATTGTTTAGGCCCTCTTTCAGCACAACTTCCTGACCGAAATATTGGTAAAAACTCCGTTTTTTCTTCAGAAGGTGACTTGCTCCCAGTAACCCCCACATCCAAACTCTTAAAAAAGGGAAAGAGAAAGAGACAGATCAGACTATCAACACTTTCCAAACTACTATGACAAATGGAAAAGTAAATTATATTATCGTTAAAGACGAACATAAGTTCCAGAAGCAGTTGGAAAGGATATCAAGCCTTCACAGCATGTAAGTTCATATTAGTTTCCCAAGATGCATCATAAAGTTTGACTAAAGCATTACAAGAAAGCTACAAACTGTAAGGCCAACAGAGAAAGAAGATAAAACCTAACTGAAAATAGTAGCGAGTAACAAAAGAGTAAAAACACAGATATTAAGAATCTTTTTAAACCAAAATGCCAAAACATAGGTACAAAAGATTAACAAAAAGATCCAAGTCTACTACTACAAAGACAAAGATGAAGATGACAAGCTTACCAAATCTGCTACAGCCATCAATCCGGTGGTGCTAACGCTTGGCCTCAAACTCGAAACATGTCGCGGAGGCTTACCCTTGGTCATTGATTTTAGATTATTCAAATCTCCTGATCCCTCATCTTCCATTACAAATGCACTGTTTTTGTCCTCTGCCACAGTAATCGGAGGAGGTAAATCCATTCCCACCGGCATAGCCGCTCCCAAATCATACATACAAAACCCAATAATTACTAAAAGAGCAACTTTTCCACGATTACGTGTAGTAGTGTATTTCACAGTGGATCATGAGCTGAAGACTTATTAGGGTACCAGTAAATGTACGGTCTGAACAAATCCACGGTGAAATGTTAGGATCCTGAAGGTATGTGAATGCTAACCCGGCCACGCCACGGCCACTGATTGGTATTGGAAATAGAAGGTACCGTGCGAAGTACCAAGGAATGATTGGATCCAATTAATCCAAAATTCTAATAATTACAATTATGATGCAAAAGACCAAGTCTTGGAACAAACACAGTGGTGAGTTTTAATAACTAATAATTGGGATCAGGTATGGGAAGAAAGCATAGGAGAGAGTAGGTGATGGAATCATTAAATGATGCTAAATTTTGGAGATTAGAAATTGGAAATAAGGCACCGAAAGTTGCGGTCGAAGGAAGCCTCGACGTCCACAAGAAAACCAAAACAGTGAGCCACCAAATCTCGTGGGAAGAGAAAACAGTGACTGTTGTTGTCTTCAAACGATTAAAGAAGGAAGAAAACCTAAATCGATGTTGTTCTATTGCTGTTGATCCAACAAACCCAGGGTAGAGGGAAACAGAACAAAAACCTATGCACCATGACCGGCGGTTCCAGGTTAATATTTTGTGCCTATGGCGGTTTGGGAAGGGAAATGGCGCCACGTGGAGAGTTCGTATTGGGTGTTACGGATGGCCTGGAGCGGATGCCGTCCTAGCCGTTCGATCCGTGTTGAGGGAAATGGAGGGCTGAGGACGAGTTGTCCTTTTAAACGTGGTAAAGGCCTCCGATTGTTAAGGTACACGTGTTGAGAAATGATTGGGTGGTAGTGAGAGTAAGCTAAGATAATAATAATACGAAATGATTCGGTTTTGGTTTTTGGATTGTCCTTACGTCCACGTGTCCAAGACAAAAGGGTTTCACATGTTTATATATCTGAAGCTCAATATCACATACTTTCTCTCATCTTATCTCAAATTAACATGTGAGAGTAGCAAAATAATTATTTATGATTTCTTTTCTTTTCTTAAAGCATTGTCTATAGAAAAAGGGCAAGATGGAAAACAACACATAAATTAAAGAAAATGTTAAGTTCAAATGCTACAACTTAGCTATAAGATACTCCAACCCAACAAAACTATCTCATTAAAGAAATAATCTCAATATTTAAGTATTGTACGAAATATTTTATCTTATTCTATATATCACTCTTAACATATCAACTGAAACTGTTTTTATTTGACAGTTTCGATACTATATATCAATAATATAATTTTTAATCAAAAATATTAATTATTAGATTTGACACGAAAAAAATATAATCTAACCTAACAAATATTTTGTTAAATAAAAAAGAAATATCAAAACATGATTATTACTACATTAAATAATTTGTCTAACTTGATACTAGTCGAACAAATGAATGAGATCTTTCAATAATATATTTTTAATTTATAGTTATTGGTATATAAAATTGCTAATGAATATGTTGCGAATTTTATCATTTATATCATTATATTTGAAATATATTTTTAATGGAAACTAAAAAAGAGAAAAAAAGAAGAAGAAGTGATCTCATTGGGTGATGGTGATTGCCCGAAGTTACAAGTTTATTATTGAATTTAAAGTGTAAGTTAAAATTTTATATTGAAAGTCCAACAATGGAGAAGTCCATTGTCTAACATGGAGGTCAAGTAGTAATAGAAGTCAAAATAGAGTTAAAAACACACATCTTAAATGATATATGTTGAGATTATTAATAACATTTTGGTCTAAAAATGGAAAAAATAATTGAAAGTGAGATGATAATTAAATATATATTTCGTCTTAGTTGCGTAGAAAGTAAATTTATGATATTATATCATTAGTAAAATACAAAATTGATATGGTAACATATAATATTAAGTATTGGTTTATTTTGTTTAAGTGTATTATTTATCAAAATACATATATAATATAAATATTTGAAATTTTTATATAAGAATATATTTATAAAAAATAATCATAGTTATCAATTAATCCAACTTATTAATGGTTGGATTATTTGATTCAAATTTAATAATAAATAACTCAAACTATTTAAATTGGGTTGAATAGTAAGATAAACGAAATAAAACGAATCATATTCACCCACATTTCTATCATTATCTTTATAGTTTGTGAAAGAGAGACATAAGTTTAAACAAAGGAATATTACAAATCTCGTGACTATTTTTGTGATGTGTACGATAAAGAGAAAGAAAACAACAATGTAAGTAAAAATGTATAGTCCTAGTAGTATGCAGATACGAGGATATAAAGTTTTATTTATTGCAAACAAAATTATTAGAAAAAAATAACTAGATTTAATATTACGCATAAAAATATATTTTTTTTATTTTTAATGTCACGAACACTGATAAAACATAAAAAAATAATACTATACTTTACAAAATGTAATTACTACAACGATATAATAATCCAAATTGCACGGAAAAACATGTTTTTACTAAATGGAGTTAAATATGATCTTCAATCTAACGATCAAATATAAAGTAATCGCATACTCATAAACATGTTGTAAACAAAATGCGAAAGCGTACCTGAATTAGCCATAATGATGATGTCTCTTTTAGAACACTATTGATCTTATGGTCTTCCACCTGAAGAGCACCTGTATTTCCCTCTTGATTTTCTCTCTTGATGGGGATAGAAAGAAAAGAATGGAACCGTAACTACGTTCGCTACTACGTGCTCCAGAAGGGACCATGACCCTTTAAAATAACCAAAATTAGGTTAATTACTTAAGTTTTAGTATTTCCAATTTGGCCCCTCATCAAATTAGAAATTGCTCTATGGTCTCTACACAATTTTATTTTCATGACATATGCATTTAGCCAAACCTTTTTTATTTAGTCAGATCACTTTATTATTTGGCTTAATAAATAATGACCCTAATACATTTAAATATGTATCATATATATACATGACCCAAATTTTGCCAATAATCTTCCACTAGTCACAAATATATATGTCCTTACAACCTCACAAATGTGTTAGACTTTATGAGCTCAAAATTGTCATTATATTCCTTTAGCATATTCCAAAAGTCCTGTCCATTAATCATATCAGGATATAGAACAAAACCAGCTTTTCATTGCATCATCGCAACTAAAACCAACAATGATTACTCATCCTGACATAACCAAATGACATGGATTCATCATGAAATGTGTAGCATGAAAAATTACGTGAAAGTGATATGTACACGTCTATTTTCAACTGGTCCAAACTTTAACTTATCGAGATCGATATAATAACCTTATTGTACAAAGTGTAATGAATGAACAAAAAAAACGCATATCTATAGATAACCAAATATGTCCAAAAAACCAATGTATGCATATATAAAATTAAACATAGAACATAAAATATATGAAAATGACTAACTCCCACTAAACCACAAATTCCTCAAACTATAAAACACCCATGTGAGCAACATGCTCATGAAAGACCTTGGGTGGAAGTCCTTTAGTTAGAGGATCTGCTATCATGGAGTTTGTCCCTAAATGTTCTATGGAAATTTGTCCACTCTGTACTCTTTCCTTAACAACTAGGAACTTAATGTCGATGTGTTTTGACTTAGTCGAACTTCTGTTGTTGTTGGAATACAATACAGCTGATTTGTTGTCACAATATAACTTAAGTGGTCTTTCAATGCCTTTCACAATTTGCAGCCCTGTGACAAAATTTCTCAGCCATATTCCATGATTTGACGCCTCATAGCATGTTACAAATTCTGCTGCCATAGTGGATGAAGCTGTAAGGGTTTGCTTGACACTGCGCCAAGAAACCGCACCACCTGCTAACATGAAAATGTAACCTGAAGTGGATTTCATACTATCTTGACATCCTGCAAAGTCCGAGTCAGAAAACCCAGCGATCTCCAACTGGTCTGACCTCCTGTATGTGAGCATGTAATCTTTTGTTCTCTTTAAATATCTCATGACCCTTTTTGGTGCTTTCCAATGGTCCATTCCTGGATTGCTTAAATATCTGTCTAGAACCCCAACTATGTATGCTATGTCTGGACGCGTACATACTTTGGCATACATCAAACTCCCTACAGCTGATGCATAGGGAATCTTTTGCATTTCCTCAATTTCCAAATTTCCCTTTGGGCACTGATTAAGACTAAACTTGTCTCCCTTAGCAACTGGAGTATCCCCGAATTTACATTCATGCATGTCAAACCTTTTAAGAATTGTTTTGATATAGCTCCTTTGTGATAATCCCAAAATACTCCGACATCGATCTCGGTGTATCTGAATTCCTAATACAAAAGACGCATCACCAAGATCTTTCATTTCGAAATTCTTTGATAAAAATTTCTTGGTTTCGTGCAATATGTCCATATCATTAGTGGCAAGTAGAATGTCATCAACATACAAGATCAGGAAAATATACTTACCCCCCTTAAACTTGTGATATACACAATCATCAACAATATTCATCTCGAAGCCAAATAAGAGAATTACTTGATGAAATTTATAGTACCATTGACGAGATGCTTGTTTTAGTCCATAAATGGATTTTGTCAGTTTGCAAACCATATTCTTTGAATCTCTCTGCACAAAATTTTCTGGTTGCACCATATAAATCGTCTCATCAATGTTGCCATTAAGAAACGCCGTCTTGACATCCATTTGATGAAGCTCCAAATCATAATGTGCTACAAGAGCCATGATTGTCCTAAAAGAGTCTTTCGATGAAACTGGAGAGAAAGTCTCTTTAAAATCAATCCTTTCCTTTTGGGTATAGCCCTTAGCTACCAGACGAGCCTTATATCTTTCCACATTACCTTTATAATCCTGTTTGGTCTTAAATATCCACTTGCAACCAATGGGTCTCATACCTTCTGGTAATGGGACAAGTTCCCAATCCTTGTTGTCTTACATGGACTTATACTCCTCCTTTATTGCTTCAATCCACTTTTCAGAGTTAGAACCTTGCATGGCTTGACGGAAGTTAACTGGGTCATCTTCCATCATACCATTATTTTCCTCATGTTCTTGAAGAAATACCATGTAATCATCCGAAATAGCACTTCTTCTTTCTCTAGTGGATCTCCGCAAAGTTATTGGCTCATGATGTACAGGTTCTTGAGGATCTTGAGTTTGTTCTTCATGAACAACCAAATCATCTTGAGTAAGGGGTTCATTAACAATGCCTTGTGGAGGTTCTGAACTTACTTTATCAAAAGTAACTGTTTGAATCGGTTCTGGAATTGTTACCGATTCTTCCTCCAAGACAAAGTTCCTGATTTTATTCTTCCCCTCAAACTCAATATCCTTAAAGAACGTAGTAGTTCCCGTCTCAAAAATTGTCTTTAATGTGGGATCATAAAATTTATATCTCCTGGATCTTTCAGCATAACCAATAAAATAACTACTTATTGTTCATGAGTCCAATTTCTTTTCATTTGGCTTATAAGGCCTTGCCTTAGCTGGACAACCCCACACATGGAAATGCTTCAAACTAGGTTGTCACCCAGTCCAAAGCTCATAAGGTGTTTTGGTCGCTGCTTTAGTTGGTACTCTGTTCAAAATATAAGCTGCCGTCTTTAGTGCCTCTCCCCAGAGTGACTCTGGTAAGGTGGAATGACAAATCATACTCCTGACCATATCTTTAAGAGTTCGATTTCGTCTTTCAGCTACACCATTCATGCTAGGTGATCCC